CGACGTCACGAACCCGATGCGACGTGACGACGAGCGTGCTCTGAAGGGGGAGGGACTTAGCACAGAGAGCAAAGAGAGAGGAGAATCAAAAAGTGAAAGAGGAAACGTATAAAACATGTAAAAAGGTTGTTTTTTGGGAGAATACAGCATTTTCAAAACAATAAAAGGAGCACGAAGTCAAAACTCTGTGGAGCGACGCCGAGGAAAAGTCCAAACTCCAAAATCTCACCGTTTAGTTTTTCATTTGTCGTCGTTTTTTATTTCCTCGGATTCTCCGTCTGTCGGATACGACGGAGTAAAAGGGTCAGATAAAAAAAAAACAACTTGCTGGTGTTACGAGAATAAAGCTGTAACATTTCAACATTAAAGTCGTAATTTTACGAGAATAAAGTCGAAGTTAAAATAAAGTTATAATATCACGAGAATGAAGTCGTAATAAAATCAAAGTCAAAGTGAAAAATGCGGCAGAAGAAAAACCTTGTTTTTCAATATAAAACCAAAAATAAGAAAACGAACAACAATTTTCTTCATTATTTGGATTGAACCAGGACTAAACCAGGACTAAACTAGGACTAAACGAGGTCCGAGACCAGATCGGGACTGAGACCAGGACTTAGACCAGGACCAGACAAGGACTGAGTCAGGGACCAAGACTGAGACCAGGATCAGACAAGAACTGAGACCAGGATTGAGACCGAGAACAGGACCAGGACTGAGACTGGGACTGAGACCGGGACCAGACCAAGACTGAAAACGGTTTAGTCCTGGTTCAGTCCTGGTTCAGTCCCGGTTTAGTCCCGGTTCAGTCCCGGTTTAGTCCCGGTTCCCGGTTCAGTCCCGGTTCAGTCCCGGTTTAGTCCCGGTTCAGTCCCGGTTCAGTCCCGGTTTAGTCCCGGTTCAGTCCCGGTTTAGTCCTGGTTCAGTCCTGGTTCAGTCCTGGTTCAGTCCTGGTTTAGTCTTGGTTCAGTCCTGGTTCAGTCCTGGTTTAGTCTGGTTTAGTCCTGGTTTAGTCCTGGTTTAGTCCCGGTTCAGTCCCGGTTTAGTCCTGGTTCAGTCCTGGTTTAGTCCTGGTTTAGTCCCTGGTTTCAGTCCCGGTTCAGTCCTGGTTTAGTCTTGGTTTCAGTCCTGGTTTAGTCCTGGTTCAGTCCCGGTTTCAGTCCTGGTTTAGTCCTGGTTCAGTCCTGGTAGTCAGTCCTGGTTCAGTCCTGGTTCAGTCCTGGTTTAGTCCTGGTTCAGTCCTGGTTTAGTCCTGGTTCAGTCCTGGTTTAGTCCTGGTTCAGTCCTGGTTCAGTCCTGGTTCAGTCCTGGTTTAGTCCTGGTTCAGTCCTGGTTCAGTCTGTATGTGGTGCAATAATCTTGCATCACATTTTAAACTCACAGAAACACCATTTCCCATTTCCGTGACTTAAACCAGGACTAAACCGTTTTCAGTCCTGGTCTGGTCCCGGTCTCAATCCTGGTCTTTCTGGTTTGGTTCTGGACCTGATTTAGTCCTGATTCAGTCCTTGTTCAGTCGAATCAACGAATGATACACGGATTCTTCTCCTTTACAAAATTCTCCAAATTCTCCACGAGCCGCAGATTTTCTCCTAATATTACCACTTTATTTTGACTACGACTTTATTCGCGTAAAATTATGACTTTAATGTTGAAATGTTATGACTTTATTCTCGTAGGGCCAGCATTTAAAAAAAAAAATTTAACTGACCCTTATACCTTTTTTACTTTCGACACAAACATTGTTTAAAGCTCCGGTATCACACAACACTGACACACGTGAGGTTCAAGTCCTGTTCTAAAGTCGTTTCCTCCTCAAAATCCGAGCTGGACTTGTGTTTGTTTCGTTCACATGTTTGAGTTTCTCTTTATTGTGAGTCTGTTTACATCTGCCAACGCTCTGTTCCACCTTGTGATGTCATGAAGTGGTGGTTTTAAAGTGAGCAGTTCCATTGTACCTTTAGTTCAGGGGAGATCGGTAAAGACATTCCAGAGCTGAGAAAATGATCCAGATGATTCTAGTGAAGATGTGTGGAGTTTAAAAACACAGTGGAGCACTTCCTGTATCACCACACGGACCAAAACCAGGACTATACCAGGTCTAAACCAGGACTGAACCAGGTCTAAACCAGGACTGAACCAGGTCTAAACCAGGACTAAAACAGGTCTAAACTAGAACTAAAACAGGACAAAAGTAGAACTGAACCAGGACTAAAACAAGAATAAACCAGGACTAAAACAGGACTAAACCAGGTCTAAACCAGGTCTAAACCAGGACTAAACCAGGACTAAACCAGGTCTAAACTAGAACTAAAACAGGACAAAAGTAGAACTGAACCAGGACTAAAACAAGAATAAACCAGGACTAAAACAGGACTAAACCAGGTCTAAACCAGGACTAAACCAGGTCTAAAACAGGTCTAAACCAGGACTAAACCAGGTCTAAACCAGGACTAAACCAGGTCTAAACCAGGACTAAACCAGGACTAAACCAGGTCTAAACCAGGACTAAACCAGGTCTAAACCAGGTCTAAACCAGGACTAAACCAGGTCTAAAACAGGTCTAAACCAAGACTAAACTAGAACTACATCATAAAGTGGTAGTTTTCCAGCTCCTTTTCAGTAGAAATCGACAAATTCAGGACTGAAAAAATGATCCATGTGATTCTAGTGAAGGTGAGTGGAGTTCAAAAACACAGTGGAGCTCTTCCTGTATCCCCACACGATGACATCACAAGGTGGAACAGAGTCTAAATGTGCAGGTTTGTGTGTTAAACGTGAGTGAATGAAACAAAACGCAGCTCCAGGTCTGTGTGTGACGAGGAAACGACAGCCTTCACTTTTTATTTATTTTTATATTTTTATTTTTCTGTCCACCAACTTCCCGACAGTTTCCGTGTGAGTGTTGAAGCTCCAGACTTCTGTCGTTCAGTGTAAAATCCTCACTCTGTCTGTTCATCTGGAGCCGTTGGCGGAGCCGCCGCATGTGACGGGATTTATCCCCTCGACCAATCAGAGCGCGGCACGAGACCCGAGGGCCAATCGGACGCGCCGGCGCTAAGCTGCAGGATAAGACCCGACTGACCTACTGAGGCGGGGGCAGAGGGCGAGGGGCGGTGAGGGGGGGCGGGGTCAGAGGGCGAGGGGGCGGAGTCACAGGAGCCGTCAGATTCACATTAATCCATATTTGTGATTCGAGTCGTTTCATAATCACAGTTTAAATCCTCCAGCTCCTGTCACAGTCCCGGGGGGTTTCAGTCGGACCAGAGGATCTAGACCAGGACTGGGCAATTATTTTATCCCTGGATACACAGAGAGGTGTTCAAAAATGTTGAAATATCGATATCGAATCATTTAATTGACATGATATGATGATACAGTATCGTGGGCTGCTGTATCGATATTTCACCAAGAGTTTTTTTAGGTTTATTTTCCTACATTATTTTGTGTAAGAGCTGCAGATGTGTCCACATTTTCACAGTTTTTATGAATAAAATGGGAGTTTTTCTGATTCATGAGCAGGTTTCACTTGGTGTGAACCGTGTGACCTGCAGCAGTTTTGACTTAATCCCCCAACACATCACACGGAGAGAATTTTATGCAAAACATTTGCCCTAATTTAATCTAAGAAACACTTTTTTTTCCTGAAATTTAAACCTAAAAAAGGCCAAATTGGGAAAATGAGAGTAAATGTTTCCACACAAATGTGAAATCAAATGATCTTAAGTGTTTGAGTGAAATGAGAAGTTTAAAAATGGTCACATTTTTCTACAGCACTTTTCCACCTTCAAGGCTCAAAGCTTTTTACAACAAGGAACCACACACACATTCACACACACATTCACACACCAGTGCACACAGACACTGTGGGCAAGGTGGGTTAAGTGTCTTGCCCATGGACACAACGACAGCATTCATCTGTGGGAGCTGGAATCACACCAGCTCCTGTGGGTCAGTGGATCTGACGCTCAAGTTTATGTCGAGACCAGGATTCGAACCGCCAACCTTTAGATCAGTGGGCGAATGCTCCACCAACTGAACTACTGCAAACACACAGGATGTTTAACACTGAGTGTTTCACTCCTCAGAGTTATTACAACATTTTATATGATTTGATATTAAATTATATTATTTTATCGTCACATCCAAACTGTGGTGAAAAGTGATCATGATCCTCACCCGTGTGTCTCTGGTGTGTCTCTCACGTGTCTCACGTGTGTCATGTGTGTGTCTCTCATGTGTCTCATGTGTCTCATGTGTCTCATGTGTCTCATGTGTCTCTGGTGTGTCTCTGTGTCTCATGTGTCTCATGTGTCTCATGTGTCTCATGTGTCTCATGTGTCTCATGTGTGTCTCATGTGTCTCATGTGTCTCATGTGTCTCATGTGTCTCATGTGTCTCATGTGTCTCTGTCTCTCATGTGTCTCTGTGTCTCTGTGTCTCTCTCTGTGTGTCTCATGTGTCTCATGTGTCTCATGTGTGTCTCATGTGTCTCTGTGTCTCTGTGTCTCATGTGTCTCATGTGTCTCATGTGTCTCATGTGTCGCTCTCCAAGTGTCTCACGAATGTCCCGCCCCCCGCTGAGACGACCAACGACGCGGCGGTGAACAGCGCCCTGATGCAGGCGGACGCCGTCAGGATGATCGGCATCAGGAAGAAGGCCGGAGAACCTCTGGTGAGACCAGCTCTGTGACCTCTGACCTCTGACCCTGACCTCTGACCTCTGACCTGACCTCTGACCTCTGACCTCTGCTGCTCGAGTTAGAGAAGAACTGGAGGAGACCAAAGACTCAGACACCAGAAGAGTCTGTTGAGTCTCTGTGAATCTGTGACTCTGACCTGAACTCAACTCAACCTCAGAATCACAAAAACAACAGTTTATACAAAAAAAGTATTTTCTGATGTTCTGCAGGAACTCGTTCAAAGTTCAGTTCACAAATTTCAAGATTCGTGCCGCGCTGACGCCGAAGACGCGCCGCAAAAACGCAGGAGGCTCTAGTCGCGCGTCCACATCGACTTTACATAGAAACTGGACGATTTGACGCTTTGGTGTGAACGAACCTTTAGATTTCATCTTCATGTGGAATGTTGACTCCTGATCCATGAGTTCACGAGAGTTTGGAGAACAGTTTTTCTCCAGTGTGGCTCTGTTCAGTCACACGAGGAGCAGCTGCAGGTTTCACCCCGACACGACGATTCTCCTAAAACATAAAGTCTCGTAAATGTTCATGATCCTTGTTGCTGCTGCTGCTGTTTTGTTTTGTCTTGTTTCTATAAAACCATGAATTTAACCAACTTGGGAACTTGTGATTCGATTTTTTGTGACGCCCCATGATTTTATTCAGACTTTTGACGATACGATATCATATACGATATATTTCGGTTCTGGTTCCATCCCAAATATATAATCAGTGATCGTTTTGTGAACCTGCTCCTTCACTGCTCTTGGATTTGATTTGATTTACTCAGAATAATAATAACGTGATAATAATAAATCATTCGTCTTCTATATAAATGTTTGAGTGACGCTTTAGGCGCCTCCACACGTGACCCTGAGGCTGATCAGGCTTTGACCCGGAGGTTTGAACAGAACTTTTCACCGTTCAGATTAAATTAAACCGATATTATAAAGGTTCTAATCTTTGATCTGAAGTCGATCGATCTGTGTAACAGCTGAAGTTGAAGTACAGGTGTGGTGGTTGTGTCCAGGGCGTGACGTTCCGCGTGGACAAAGACGAGCTGGTGATCGCGCGGATCCTTCACGGCGGGATGATCGACCGCCAGGGCCTGCTCCACGCCGGCGACATCATCAAAGAAGTCAACGGGAAAGACGTCGGAAACAACCCCACGGAGCTGCAGGAACTCCTGAAGGAATGTAGCGGCAGCATCACCCTGAAGATCCTGCCCAGCTACAGGGACGCACCTGCCGCGCCACAGGTACAGACAGGGACAGACAGGGACGCACCTGCCGCGCCTCAGGTACAGACAGGGACGCACCTGCCGCGCCACAGGTACAGACAGGGACGCACCTGCCGCGCCACAGGTACACACAGACAGACAGACAGGGACGCACCTGCCGCGCCACAGGTACAGACAGACAGGGACGCACCTGCCCCGCCTCAGGTACAGACAGGGACGCACCTGCCACGCCACAGGTACAGACAGGGACGCACCTGCCGCGCCTCAGGTACACAGACAGACAGGGACGCACCTGCCGCGCCTCAGGTACAGACAGGGACGCACCTGCCGCGCCACAGGTACAGACAGGGACGCACCTGCCGCGCCACAGGTACAGACAGGGACGCACCTGCCGCGCCTCAGGTACACAGACAGACAGGGACGCACCTGCCACGCCTCAGGTACCACAGACAGGGACGCACCTGCCACACCTCAGGTACACAGACACAGGGACGCACCTGCCGCGCCACAGGTACAGACAGGGACGCACCTGCCGCGCCACAGGTACAGACAGGGACGCACCTGCCCGCGCCACGCACCTCCAGGTACAGACAGGGACGCACCTGCCACACCTCAGGTACAGACAGGGACGCACCTGCCGCGCCTCAGGTACACAGACAGACAGGGACGCACCTGCCGTGCCTCAGGTACTCACAGACAGACAGGGACGCACCTGCCGCGCCTCAGGTACAGACAGGGACGCACCTGCCGCGCCTCAGGTACAGACAGGGATGCACCTGCCCCAGTTCAGGTACAGACAGGGACGCACCTGCTCCTCCTCAGGTACACAGACAGGGACGCACCTGCCCCTCCTCAGGTACAGACAGGGACGCACCTGCCCCGCCTCAGGTACAGACAGGGACGCACCTGTTATTATTATTTCTACATATTGTTCAAGAATTACTTCAATAAAAACTAAATCAAAATGAGGCAGTAAAAGTCAAATATTCAGATTTTAAACAGGAAGAGTCTAGTTTTTATTACAGTGAAAGTGAAATAAACTAAACTCAAACCGTGTGCGTTTGACCCGGGCTGTAAACGCAGCGGGCGGAGGTCAGGGCCCAGATGGAGATCAGGTTTCATGGTCCTCGTTCACTCGCTCATAAACACTGATGTCACTAACGCGCTGCTTCAGAACGTGTTACTGTCTGAATACTTTTGTCAGTCTCGAGTCGTCTAACGCAGAGCTGAAGTCAGACTGAAGTTACTTCTCTAACACACTGTACGTTACTATTTTTGTGTTTCAGGGCGACGTAGGTTATTTATTTATTAGTATTTTTTGGCGACGTGGGTTATGTGACCCTAAAGATCGTATAAATCGTCTCTGGTGACACGTTTTCTATGATGTTACGTCAGAGTCTGATGTAAACAACGGAGGGAGAGAGACACGACTTCTGCAGCTAGAAATACAAACACAGAGGCTGTGTTCACACTGCACCTGAAGTGACCCAAATCTGATTTTTTGTCTCTATGTTCCTGTATCTGATCTTTTAATGTGAGTCTGAACCACACAGATCTGATGTTTTCAAACATGACCCAGGACACTTGGATCTGTGCTCCTGAAACTGATCCATATCTGATCTTTAACATGTGACTTGAGTGTGAACAGTCAGGTCACATTCATCCACCTACACGTCATCAACAAGACACAAACGTCACTATTCTGCACTGAAGTAGGAGAAAACTGTTCATGATCCATGTGACTGAAGTGAAGCACATCTCCACTCACCACAAAACACCACCACCAAAAACCTGCTCCTTCTCCTTCTCAATCTCCTCCTTAAAACAAGTCAGTTGTTCATGTTGTGGCTCCGGTACGAGAGGAACTTTAAAATCTCCAGGTGCTCGATGCTGCGTCCATGTTTGTTCAACTTGTGTAAACACAGAGACGCTCGCTGCGGTTGACGTCGTCGTGTCTCCAGTGTCACATGTGGGACACTTTTGGACCGTTTAATGTTCACACTGGAGTCACATACAAGTCACATTTAACTGGAAATGTGAACGACCTCGAAAAAACATCAGATTTCACAAAAAAATCTGAATTGAGCGTTAAACCTGCAGACTGAATGTTGCCTTAGATTTGATTTCAGCTCAGGACAGAAACATAAAAGTCGGTTGTTCACTCTGTGCTGGAGACAAAGTGTCGTCTGCTTCAAGAAAACAACATCAAACCTGAAGAAACATCTAGAAACACAACACGGCCACGTGAACAGAGCAGCTCCAGCCCGGTGCCAAGAAACAAAGACTGACTTTATTTTATTATTATTTTTTTATAAAAACATGTAGCCTGTTTTCTTTCAGGAAATAGTTTTTAAATGTCAGTGTCATTTTTGATTTTCCAGTTAAAATCCTTGTCAGTAAAGTGAGTATTGGCATAACTAAAAAAGTAACTTGTAATCTAATTTAGTTACTTTTAAAAGCAAGTATTCAGTAACTTAACTCAGTTACTTTTTAAAGAAGTAATCAGTAGTCAGTAGTCAGATTACTATTTCAAAGTAACTATGGCAACACTGCTCATAAAACATTTCAGGAGATGGAAAAGTTCATTTCCTGTTGTCTGAGGACGTGAGGCACATTCCGGAACCTGCCGCCCTGTCCGGAGCAGGTGCCCCCCCTGCCCCTGCCCCTGTCCCTGTCCCTGTCCCTGCCTGCCCTGTCCCTGCCCCTGCCCCCTGCCCTGTCCCTGTCCCTGCCCCTGCCCTGCCTGCCCCTGCCCTGTCCCTGCCCTGCCCCTGCCCTCCCTGTCCCTGCCGCTGCCCCTGCCCCTGCCGCTCTCCTGGGGCCTGGACAGCTCCTCCCAGAATCCTTTGCGCTCGTGTGTAAGCCTATTAATAACCCTCCAGATGAGATGTAGGTCAGTCTCTCTCTGTGTGTGTGTGTGTGTGTGTCTGTCTGTGTGTGTGTGTGTGTGTGTGTGTGTGTGTGTGTGTGTGTGTGTAATCCCCGACTCACAAAACCACTGCACAACATCTGTTTAAACACACGACACACACCACCTGTGTGTGCGGCACGTGAAACACACAACAAATAAAACACACAACAAATAAAACACACAACAAATAAAACACACAATGACAAAACATCTGACTTTATTCTAAAGTTCTTTGTTTACATCTGGTGCCACTGGTTTGTGTGTATTTGTGTGTGTGTTTTTTTTACATTAATTTAAAATAATGATGTTAACTCATTATTTGTTGGTATTTTAGTTCTTTTTATATTTTCGTTCTCTTTTTACATGAGTTAACCTGTTTGTGTGTTTGTGTGTGTTTTGTATGTGTTAAACTGATCATGTGTGTGTGTGTTTTGTGTGTGTCGTAGGTGTATGTGCGTCCGTACTTTGACTATGATCCGGCCCATGACAGTCTGATCCCCTGCAGAGAGGCGGGCATGTCCTTCCACCGAGGAGACATCCTCCAGATCGTCAACAGAGAAGATCCCAACTGGTGGCAGGTGAAGTTCTCAAGAAACCAAACTGACCACTCTAGTGTCTGTAGTGTCTGTAGTGTCTGTAGTGTCTGCAGTGTCTGTAGTGTCAGTGTCTGTAGTGTCTGTAGTGTCTGCAGTGTCTGCAGTGTCTGTAGTGTCTGCAGTGTCTGTGTCTGCAGTGTCTGCAGTGTCTGCAGTGTCTGCAGTGTCTGTAGTGTCTGTAGTGTCTGCAGTGTCTGCAGTGTCTGCAGTGTCTGTAGTGTCTGTCTGTAGTGTCTGCTGTGTGTCTGCAGTGTCTGCAGTGTCTGCAGTGTCTGCAGTGTCTGCAGTGTCTGTAGTGTCTGCAGTGTCTGTAGTGTCTGCAGTGTCTGTCAGTGTCTGCAGTGTCTGCAGTGTCTGCAGTGTCTGTGTAGTGTCTGCAGTGTCTGCAGTGTCTGCAGTGTCTGTAGTGTCTGTAGTGTCTGTAGTGTCTGTAGTGTCTGTAGTGTCTGTAGTGTCTGTGTGTCTGTAGTGTCTGCAGTGTCTGCAGTGTCTGCAGTGTCTGCAGTGTCTGTAGTGTCAGTGTCTGTAGTGTCTGTAGTGTCTGCAGTGTCTGTAGTCTGTAGTGTCTGTAGTGTCTGTAGTGTCTGTAGTGTCTGTAGTGTCTGTAGTGTCTGTAGTGTCTGTAGACTGTAATGTTCACTACAGACACTACGGTCGTCACTAGAATCCACTAGGATTGTAGTGACGACTGTAGTGACTCTGAAATTCTCAGTGAAAGGGGCATAAACTTCTCTGAGTCAGACTTTGGTCCAGCTGGTGTCACACACCTGAAACAATAATGTCACATGTGAAAAGACAAAACAGTAAACAAACAAACAAACAAACAGCAGTTGATACAGCGAATGACGTCACTGTAAAATTAACATAATGATCCTAAAGTAACTCACATCTACAGTCTTGAGTCTAACCCCCAGTTCACACCAAAGCTGCAGTGTGTAAGAGCAGCAGCTCAGCTCACGAGCAGCAGACGCGCAGCTTTAACTTTCCATTTTCACTGGTCTGACAGTGTAAACTGACAGAGTCACACATGTCCAACGTCTGACGCTCGAGAGGTTGGAGTTTTAATTTTGCAGCATCAACGGAGCATCTCCAAGGTTTTCAGCGGGAGAGACAAGAAATAAACACGCGGTGTCAAAATAAACTTCCGATGCCCTTTCAAAATAACTTAACCAAAGTCAAGACAACGATGTCAACAATGCACACTGTGTCCACTGCGTCATGATGGAGAAATACAACGTCATTTACGATGTCAGACACCAGTTCTACAAGGACTAAGGACTAAACCAGGACTAAACCAGAAGTGAACCTAGACTCACTGTCAGAATGTGCTCCGAGGTCCGCCCGTGTAGACTGTCGAGTGACCGCGGGCCGAAGGACCACTGCAGATCTCCAGGCTCTGTCACCCGATTGCACTTTTCAGACGCCTGCTCCGCGGGGCTCAGGGTTCTGTTTCTCTCTCTCTCTGTCTCTCTTCCAACATTAGTCCTGGTTCAGTCCTGGTTCAGTCCTGGTTCAGTCCTGGTTCAGTCCTGGTTTAGTCCTGGTTCAGTCCTGGTTTAGTCCTGGTTCAGTCCTGGTTTAGTCCTAACCCTCCTGTAAAATTCCAGAACGTTAAAAACCACCCATTTCAGGAAGTATTTTCCCGTATCCGTCGGTGCTGGACTCTGTATCAAGATATGAACGTATCTGTTATATAATGGATGTTCATTAATTACAGGTGAATTTACCTTATTGAGGAAAAAAAAGCCTGAGGTGTTTTATGTGAGTGTTAATAGATTTAAACTTCATTTAACCACAAACACAACATGAAGTAGAAATTATAGCTTTATAGATATAAATATTGTAAACTTTATTTACAATAAAATCAGACATAACCATTTTAAATGTGTTCTGCAGTTCTACACTTAACACACATTCTAACTTATTACACCTTAAAATAACATTAAAAAAAAAATAAAAAAAACTACAAATGTTAATAACAAAAAGCAAGAACATAATGTGACGTGTGAAAACAGTGTGAGGATGTTCAGGCTGCAGCAGGAGGAGGGAGGAGCGTCTCTGACTCTGGTGTGAACTGAAACTTAAATTTACGTGTGTGTGCAGCTCCGCCTACGTTAAACACCACTGCAGCTCCTGGTGTGAAGTCAGGGTTAGTAATCTTGGCTGTGTGTGTGTGTGTGTGTGTGTGTGTGTGTGTGTGTGTGCGTGTGTGTGTGGTTCAGGCGTGTCACATGGTGGGCGGGGCCACTGGACTCATCCCCAGTCAGTTCCTGGAGGAGAAGAGAAAAGCCTTCGTCCCCCGAGACTTCGAAGGATCAGGTCAGTGCACCAGTCGAAACGTCTGAACAAACATCTGCACAAACATCTGCACAAACATCTGCACAAACATCTGAACAAACATCTGAAAACATCTGAACAAACATCTGCACAAACATCTGCACAAACATCTGCACAAACCAAACATCTGCACAAACATCTGCACAAACATCTGCACAAACATCTGCACAAACATCTGCACACAAACATCTGAACAAACATCTGCACAAACATCTGCAAACATCTGCAACAAACATCACAAACATCTGCACAAATCTGAACAAACAAACATCTGCACAAAACATCTGCACAAACATCTCACAAAATCTGAACACAAACATCTGAACAAACATCTGCACAAACATCTGCACAAACATCTGAACAAACATCTGAACAAACATCTGCACAAACATCTGCACAAACATCTGAACAAACATCTGCACAAACATCTGCACAAACATCTGCACAAACATCTGACCTGAGTCTGACCATGACAAACGAACGCACAACTGTCTGACAACACAACACGAGCTACACATGGAGAATAAAAGCTTTGGTTACTGTTAGAACTTAAAGGTGCAGTGTGAAACTCCATGTAGATGTTCTGTCTCTGTCTGTTCTTCTGCATTATTTAATTTTATGGTTGAATTTATCTTGAAAAATTTCACATTTTTATTTGATTTATGGCAGCAGCAGTTCTACTTTCTCTTCTGGTTCAAACTATTAAAATACTCATAATCATAATCACACAGTGGCATTATCAACTGGAAATGTCAAAAAATAATTTATAACTGATCATTTTCATTTTAAATATTATTTTATTTGTAAATCCGTCTCAATCTAGAAGCGTCTTCATATTCTGTCTCCATGTTTTGAACTGCTTTGCAAATCAAAATTTACAGTAGAAATAATTATTTGACTCGTCGATTACTAAAATAATCATTAGTTACGGCTCTAATTTTAATGCCACACTGTGAAACATTCAGGGTAAAGCAATAACATCTCCATGGAGACGAGCAGGCGCTGAACTCTCCACCGGAAAAGTTACACAAAAGTGCTGGATAGAAAAATACATACTGGTAATTAGTTGTGTAATTGTTATTATTATCTTATCATTTCTAATTAATTCTGTTTATTCTGGAATTATATTTTAAAAATTCACACACAAACCTAGTTCAAGTTTGAGACAGAGAAATGAGCTGATGTGGCCCTCTGCTGGTCACAGAGAGAACTGTCAGAAACATGTTCACAGGAAGAAGAGGCGTCTTTGTTTTGTCTTTTTTGTACTATAACAACTATAATGTTCAGAAAATGTACAGAAAAAAAAACATTCATATATTGAGAAATGTAAATTAAAAAAGGTTTTAACACACAGCAGATTTAGAGCGACCAGATTTTCCAAAATTCTAAACTGGGACACACTCAAGTTGGGGTGTTTGGTGTAAATAAAATTAAAAATAAAGTGAAAAGAGCGTGGAACTTTGTGCATTTTCATGTCAATCAGAATCTTCAGGTTTTTTTGTTTTTGCATGATGGTCATTCACAAACACCAATTTCTGTATTTTGACCAAAAAAAAAAAAAAATTGTGATAGTCCAGTTTTAGTTCTGGTTTAGACCTGATTAGTCCTGGTTTTAATCAAATAATTCAAAAATAGGGACATTTCTCATATAAATCTGCTGGGACAGGAGACACAGGCTCAAAACTGGGACTGTCCTGGTGAAACAGGGACGTCTGGTCACCAAAGCCAAGTGACCGTAGAAAAAGAAATAAAGATATAAAATTAAATAGTCCAGACAACAGGGAAACTCCAGGTCTGTTTTTGAGGAGGAAACATTAGAACACGACTTAAAGCTGATGTTTTGTGTCATATCAGAGCTGTAAATGACCTCGTGTCGTGTTTTTACAGGGATGTTGTGTGGGACTCTCGCTGGGAAAAAGAAGAAGAAAATGATGTATCTGACGGCAAAGAACGCAGGTCTGACACCAAGCACGCACTTCACACTTTTTGGGGGACTTAATTAATTTGTTGGAGACCTAATCTTAAAGTAAAAAATATAAAATGTGAAAAACAGAATTAGTTCATTATAAAAAGTTTGCAGAAGTCCAAAGTCCTCACTTTCCTTCTGCATTCAGAGGTCCTCATTATTCACCACAATGAGTTTATAAAAGCTTTTCACACACTTCACAGATCAGAGCGGAGTTTTGCAACGACGGTAAAGGGAACATTTAGCATGCTAACACACACTTCCTGAATAGAATGTTTTCATAATTAGATGCAGACAGTTCACAGCAGACTGACATAATCTGTACTCGGGCAAGACACATTTTACTCCAGTACATGAGGAAAAAGTATCTGGGGTTCGTGTACCATTTGTTTTTTTTTTTTCAATTAAGATCGGAAAACAATGAAATAGGAAAAGAGTTTGTTATTGAATTTTTCCATTTTAGGGTCAAAAAAAAAAAAAACAAAAAAAGATTTTGACCTCTGTTTCCAATATTTAATTTACATTTTATTTCAAATAACACCTATCAAAAAACTCATAATAAAAATAAATAAATAAATAATGACTATTGGTGACTATTTTAATTTTAATATTTTATTTTCTCTGGTTTATTTAAAGTTCTGCTGCTGAAGGTCTCACCTGAAAAATCGCTGCAGTTTTGTGGACACGTCGTCTTCTTTTATAGCGACGCATTTATTTTCACGTCTTAGAAAGTGTAGAAAAGGAAAAATGTAATAAACTGTTTTCCCATTTTATTGTTTTTCATTTTGATTAAAATTCAAAAGAACCGATGGTACACGAATTAAACAGTCTGTACTTGCCAAACCTGAACCTGAACTCAAAACTGAACTGAAATTTTGACTCAGATCTGAACTTTAAACATGTTGTTGATTAAATAAAAAGGATTTACAACACAGACCTGAGAGGTGAGAGGCAGGTCCCCATAAGGCACATCTGAGTCCCCAGTTTGACCTCTGGTGTCTGTGCAGAGTTCGACCGTCACGAGCTGCAGATCTACGAGGAGGTGGCCAAAGTCCCGCCCTTTCAGAGGAAGACGCTGGTCCTGATTGGTGCTCAGGGCGTGGGGAGGCGGAGCTTGAAGAACAGGCTGATGGTTCTTCACCCGACGCTGTTCGGCACCACCATCCCCTGTGAGTGTGAACGCCGGGACTCACCTGGACTCACCTGGACTCACCTGGACTCACCCGTGACGACCAAAACACACCGAGAACCACACCAAAAAAACAAGAACCACACCGAGAACCACACCAAAAAACCAAGAACCAACACAAATGTTTCACTGTGAAGAGCCAAGGTTTAAGAGTCTGTGGAGAGTTCTTTTATTTATGGGTGTTTAAGAAAAAAAAAGAAAAACGTGTTATTCCGGTGAGTAGTGTTACCTCTCCACAGATCTGACCTGTAACTTGGCAAGTCTATGAAGTTTAAATGTAAATGTTACATGTTGTGTGTTATATTGTGTTTGTGTGTGTTTTGTGTGTTCAGACACGTCCCATCGTCCCCGTGACGAGGAGACGTGTTATATTGTGTGTTTGTGTGTTGTTTGTGTGTGTGTGTGTGTTATATTGTGTGTGTGTGTGTTATATTGTGTGTGTGTGTGTTATATTGTGTGTTTTGTGTGTTTATATTGTGTGTTTGTGTGTTATATTGTGTGTTTGTGTGTGTTATATTGTGTTTGTGTGTGTGTTGTGTGTTATATTGTGTGTGTTTGTGTGTTTATATTGTGTGTGTGTGTTGTGTGTTATATTGTGTGTGTTTGTGTGTTATATTGTGTGTGTGTGTGTGTATATTGTGTGTGTGTGTGTGTGTATATTGTGTGTTTGTGTGTGTTATATTGTGTGTGTGTTTGTGTGTTATATTGTGTGTTTGTGTGTTATATTGTGTGTGTGTGTGTTATTTGTGTGTGTGTTGTGTGTATATTGTGTGTGTGTGTTGTGTGTGTTATATTGTGTGTGTGTTTGTGTGTGTATATTGTGTGTGTGTGTGTTATATTGTGTGTTTGTGTGTGTGTTATATTGTGTGTGTGTGTTATATTGTGTGTTTGTGTGTGTTATATAGTGTGTGTGTGTGTTATATGTGTTTGTGTGTTATATTGTGTGTGTGTTTATATGTGTGTGTGTGTGTGTGTATATTGTGTGTGTGTGTTATATTGTGTGTGTGTGTGTGTTATATATTGTGTGTGTGTGTGTTATATTGTGTGTGTGTGTTTGTGAGTTATATTGTGTGTGTGTTATATTGTGTGTGTGTGTTTGTGTGTTATATTGTGTGTTTGTGTGTTATATGTGTGTTTGTGTGTTATATTGTGTGTGTTTGTGTGTTATATTGTGTGTTTGTGTGTTATATTGTGTGTTTTGTGTGTTATATTGTGTGTTTGTGTGTTATATTGTGTGTTTGTGTGTTATATTGTGTGTGTGTGTGTGTGTTTATATTGTGTGTGTGTGTGTTATATTGTGTGTGTGTGTTATATTGTGTGTTGTAGTGTGTGTGTGTGTGTTATATTGTGTTTGTGTGTTATATTGTGTGTGTTGTGTGTGTGTATATAGTGTGTGTGTGTGTTATATTGTGTGTGTGTGTGTTTATATTGTGTGTTATATTGTGTGTGGTGTGTGTGTGTATATGTGTGTGTGTGTGTTATATATTGTGTGTGTGTGTGTGTTATATTGTGTGTGTGTGTTTATATTGTGTGGTGTGTATATAGTGTGTTGTGTGTTATATTGTGTGTGTTTGTGTGTTATATTGTGTGTTTGTGTGTTATATGTGTGTTTGTGTGTTATAATTGTGTGTGTTGTGTGTGTTATATTGTGTGTGTGTTGTGTGTTTATTTGTGTGTTTGTGTGTTATATTGTGTGTGTGTTATTTGTGTGTGTGTGTTATATTGTGTGTGTTATATGTGTGTGTGTTTGTGTGTTATATTGTGTGTGTGTGTGTTATATTGTGTGTGTGTGTGTGTGTGTGTGTGTGTGATATTGTGTGTGTGTGTGTGTGTGTGTGTTGTGTGTTGTGTGTATATTGTGTGTGTGTGTGTGTGTGTGTGTGTGTGTGTGTGTTATATTGTGTGTGTGTGTGTTGTTATATTGTGTGTTGTGTGTGTATTGTGTGTGTGTTGTGTGTGTGTTATATTTGTGTGTGTGTGTGTTATTGTGTGTGTGTGTTATATTGTGTGTGTGTGTGTTTATATTGTGTGTGTGTGTGTTATATTGTGTGTTATATTGTGTGTGTGTGTTTGTGTGTGTGTGTTATATTGTGTGTGTGTGTGTTTATATGTGTGTGTGTTTGTGTGTTATATTGTGTGTGTGTGTGTGTATATTGTGTGTTATATTGTGTGTGTGTGTGTGTATATTGTGTGTGTGTGTGTTATATTGTGTGTGTGTGTGTGTGTTATATTGTGTGTTATATATTTGTGTGTGTGTGTTGTGTGTTATATGTGTGTTTGTGTGTTATATTGTGTGTGTTTGTGTGTTATATTGTGTGTGTTATAGTGTGTTTGTGTGTTATATTGTGTGTGTGTGTTATATTGTGTGTTATATAGTGTGTGTGTGTGTGTGTTATATTGTGTGTTTGTGTGTTTATATGTGTGTGTGTGTTGTGTGTTATATATTTGTGTGTTTGTGTTATATGTGTGTGTGTGTTATTTGTGTGTGTGTTATATTGTGTGTTTGTGTGTGTATATTGTGTGTGTGTTATATTGTGTGTGTTGTGTGTGTGTGTTTGTGTGTTATATGTGTGTTTGTGTGTGTT